AGGGCCTCCCCCAGCCGGCCGCTCGGAGCCTGCCTTTCCCGGCCGGGTGCCTGGCGCGGAGGAGAAAACGGAGACCCGGGGAGGGCAAGGGCCCCCCAGGGGCGCACACAGCTGGTCCTCGGGACTGGCCTCCCGCGTGGCCGGCTGGCTGCAGGTGTGTGCCCACTCCATGGGGCCAGTTAAACGGAGCAAGACTTGAAATTGCCTAGTCCAGGGTGGCAAACAATAGGTGCTCAATCACTGCACATGAGGGCCTCGTGGATGGCCGAGATGTGGGCCATGGGAGCGCTGGTTCCCTGAGTTCCGTCACCCCACCGAATGCCCCGCTCACGTCGGCTCGTGAGTTTCTCCAAAAGTAGCACCACAGAAAGTCACGAATGGGAGCCGGAGAGCTGGCTCTGCCCTGTGCGGGCTCGGGCTCGGGGCCTCGCCTGTCTGCGCCTCGGTTTCCCTCTGTGAGATGGGCCACGCCCAGTGCCCGGGTCACCCTGTGGCTGTTGTCGTTACTGATACTGTTCCCTGCTGGCCGGGTGACGGGGGCTCTGGGAGACCGTGAGTGAGGAGGCTGGGTGGCTGGGGCCGAGACTTCTGCCTCCTGAGCCTCAAAACCTCACAGGGGTTTCCTGGCGTCACCGTGGGTCGCCCCTCCAGCGGGCACGGAGGGGGTTTTGGGACCCGGGAGCAGAGGATCCCAGGTTTGTGCCCCTGCCCGTCCCCCAGGATCAGGGGTGCCACGAACACGCGCCCCAGGGTCTCTTCTGTGCTTGCTCCTATGGGGTAACTCCAGGACTCCCCAAGAGGGCCAGCCCCCGGCCCAAGAGACAGAGTGGGACGCGGACGCCCCTAGCCCGTGGGTCCAGGGCTGGCTGGAGGGCGGGACGGGCAGGGGCTGGAGATGAGGCCGGGCCCCAGGCAGGTGACAAGCACGCCGCTGAGGTCCGCTGTGAGACGGTGGCGAGGCTGGGCCGGGGGACCCGAACCTCCGTCAGCCAGGGCAACGGGGGGTCGTGGGTGGCGGGCAGGGTCCCTTCTGGGTGGCGCTCAGTGAGACAGGCGTCGAGGTGGGGAAGAGGAAGTTCCCAGGGGTGGGCAGGAAACTTAAGTCTGACCTCTGGCCTTTGCAGCCACCCGGTGGTTCCTGATTCCGGACCCTTCCCAGGGGCAGCATCTCGTGGGGGAAGCAGGGTTGGGGGCTGCAGCTGGTGCCCAACCGGCTGTTCCTCCAGGTTGGCCAGGCCCGCCTGGAGCCCCTGGGCAGAGTGGGAGGAGGGCGCCCTTGCCCGTGGGGGGCACCGCAGGCAGGAGTGAACCCGGGGTTGCAATTGAGGGCTCTGTGCTTAAGTTCTGGTTGTGCCATCTACTTCTTTGTGACGTCAGACAGGGGACTTCCCCTCCTCGGGCCTCAGCTTTCTCCCTCATCTAAAGTGGAGGCACGTGCTCAGCCTTAATTAACGGTGGTCTTTTTTTAAAGCAGGAGGGGCTGGATTTGTCTGACGCCTAATTAATACTCAGGGGAGGGGCACAGTCCCCAGCAGCTGGTGACCCAGGCCTGGAGGAACACTGGGGAAAGGAGGGAATGAAGGGAGTGAGCCTGGATGACAAGGGTCCCTCCCCAGGTAAAGGACAATTCCTGTGCCAGAGCCAGGAGGCATGATAGTCTTGGTGTGCACTTAAGCTCTTAGCTATTCTTCATGTTATATTGAAGCTGTTGCACATATGTGTATGCATGAACGTGATATCAGTTGACAAGGAAAAAGAAAGGCAACCTTAAACTCCCAGAAAACCAGAAAGCCACTGTGGCCCTGATATTACTGATGTACTACAGTTTTGGGCAATTGTCACAGTGTAAGAACCAGAGTTTTAAATATACATACTAAGTCATTTACATCAAGCTCAAAAAACAATATTCTGTTTCCTTTTGGCAATTTGATCTCACACCTTTGATGGTAATGTTTCCTTTTTGAATAACTTGTTTTGTTAGTCAGATTTTTTTTTTTTTTTTTAACAGAAAAGGTAAAGACAGTGGCTCATGCCTGTAATCCCAGCTACTTGGGAGGCTGAGGTGGGAGGATTGCTTGAGCCCATGAGGTCAAGTCTACAGTGAGCTATGATCGTACCACTGCACTCCAGCTGGAGTAACAGAGTGAGACCCCCATCTCAAAAGATAAGAATAAAAACTTTTTAAAAGGTAAAGATAGACCCTTTTCTTTTGCTCAATATTTTTGTCTTTGGGATTTGTTGATTCCTTTTGTCTGCTGTTTAGGTTTTCACCTAAACATACATTACAATATGGACATTTTAGATGGTTTCTAAGTTTTTTGTCTCAATGAATAAAAGAAGATTTGAAATCAAATTTCCAGAAAATAAATCTCTGGGTTTCAGTTTACATTTTATTCCTCCCACCTCCCATTTAAACAGAAATATTTCACATTTTGATCGCCATCATCGATCTGCTCTCCAAAGAGGCTGATTCCCATGACATCGTTGCCTGCAGTGTCCACAAATCCCTAAAAACAGACCTTATGAAAACGTTCTGCCTGTGGCCCGGCTGGATCATTCCAGGAGGGAGAAGGTGAGCGTCTGGCTGGAGGAGTCACATGAGGTCAAAGGCATCAGCCCTGATGCCAGTGTTGGGATTTTTCCCGAAAACCATCTGTCATGTTTACAGGAAGTTTCGTGCGTGAGTCCTCCGAAGTCCCTCTGAGGGTCATCACGAAGGCGGGCTTTGCTTCCAGGCCCTTTTGTCCCTCCCAAACGAAACACAATGGGTTTGGTTTCGCGTGTTTGTCGGGGTGAGAAGGGAAGCCTGGCGTGAGGAAGTCAGCGCTGTCACTGCCTGAACCGACACCGAAGTCTTCTTGGAGACATCAGGGTTTAAAAAAGAACTGTCCGGGATTTCAGGAAGGCCCTGAGGAAGTGACATTTCTGGGGGAGAAATGCTCCGGTGAAGCCCAGAAAGCCCTCCACACACAAACCAGTGTGTCTTGTGCGAAGGGAAACCAAGTTTTGTGCTTCTGGAGGGGACAGAGGGGCAAGGAGGGCTCCTGGGTAGGGGTGGCCTTGCCTGCTGGACTCCGAGCCCGGCTGGCAGCCGTGACCCTGCCTTGCCTGGGACGGGGCCGAGAGGTCAGGTGCGGCGGCCCCAGGTGGCCCTGCCCAGAGCTGGCTGGTTGCCTATTTATGCCCGTTTATTCCTATTCATGGGCTGTGGTGCCCTTAGTCTGCCCCTGCGGCCCTGCTGTCCCCAGCCCGTCCCTGCAGCCTGGGGTCCCCTGGCCTGTCCCCGCAGCGCCACTGTTCCCCATCTTGTCCCTGCAGCCGTGCTTTCTAGCCTGCCCCTGCAGCCATGACGTCCTCAGCCTGTCCCCACAGATGGAGGTTGCCCCGATGGCACCCTGGGGACAGGGGTGGACACGGGGAGATAATGAAAGACAGAGAAACAGAGATGGAGAGATGACCCACAGAGACACCATGGCTGCAGGGGCCAGGCTGGGGGACGCCACGGCGGCGGGCGGGAGCCGGCCCTGTGGAGCGGAGGCAAGTCCCACAGGAGAGGAGGCTGCTTGCCTTCCTGGACATCAGCCGGCCTGGTGTGGCCCACAGCAAGTCACCCGAACCCTCACCTGCTCTCTTTCCTGTGCCCGCCCCCGGGTGCGCAGGGCCCACCGCGAATCCCTCCCAGCCCAACTTTGATTTTTGTTTTTTGGTTTTTTTGAGTCGGAGTCTCACTCGGTCGCCCAGACTGGAGTGCAGCGGCCGCTCCCGGCCACCACAACCTCGACCTGCTGGGCTCCGGCGATCCTTCCGCCTCAGCCTTCCGAGTAGCCGGAATGACAGGCATGCGCTCCCACGCCCGGCTGATTTTCTGATTTATTGTAGCGATGAGGTCTCGCTGCCCAGGCGGGTCTCGAACCCGCGGGCTCAGGCCATCCGCTCACCTCGGCCTCCCAAGGTGCGGGATGACAGGCTGAGCCACCGAGCCCGGCCCAGCCTTGACACGAGATCTGACTGTGCTCCTGCTCACACGCCCGCCATGGCTCCCCGTGGCCCTCCCTGGGGAACTGAGGTGCAGGGCTCAGGAGGTCATGGCCCCGATGGAGCCAGAGGCATGAATGAGTGATGAGGCCAACGACTTGGGTCCTGTGTTCAGCCCTGGGCCCGGCCCTCGGCGCCGATCAGCCCCTGGGCCCCGTGGCTGCACCGCCAGGCGGCCTCCCGGCCCGGGGCCCGCTGGCAAGGCCGGTCTCCAGACGCTGGACTCCGCCGGCTCCAGGAGGAAGAGCCGTTTCCTGCCGGCTTCTGGATTTACGCCAGGGAGGGGGCGGGGAGGCGGGAGGGGCTCCCCGCCTCTCCCACCCCGGGCCCTTGGCAGCGGCCCGGGTCTGCGGGCTGGGGCGGGCCCTGGTGGCCATGAGCGGACACGGCGGCTGGATCCCCCTGCTTTCCGCAGCATCCCTCCTTAGGCAGGGCCTGCAGATGGGCCCCTGCTCAGGTGAGGCCCCGATCGGGCTCCTCCAAGCCAGGTGTGTGGGCGGACAACATGCAGGAATGGCAGAAGCGGGTGTGTTGGAGATCCGGGGGCTTCCAGTCTCCTCCCTACACTGGCCTCTAAGAATTTTATTTTTTCTTACCTTTTTTTCCTTTTTTTTTTTGAGTCAGAGTCTCACTCTGTCGCCCAGGCTGGAGGGCAGTGGCATGCTCCCAGCCACCGCAGTCTCGACCTGCTGGGCTCTGGCGATCCTTCCGCCTCAGCCTTCCAAGGAGCCGGCACCACAGGCATGCGCTACCACGCCCAGCTAATTTTCTATTTATTGTAGAGACAGGTCTCACCG